CTAGGGTTCCTCCAGAAGTTGATAGGGGTTTCTCGAGCAATAAGTAATATCTGCCTCTCAGATAAGTTCCCACTGACACCATTGATCTTTTTAGCCATCTATAAGCGAGTGATTTTTCCCAATGACCATAAGTGTAAGGAGCATTCTTCCCACTGACCATCACACTAATGTATCATGAATTGTAGATATAGTCATTTTTAGCAGGGGTTTCCTGAGACTGGAAAGTTATTTCAAGAGTTCCTCTATGTTGAAAAGTTTGAGAAAGGGTAATCTAAATGTAACATGCATGGATATTTGTATGGTACAGAACTGCATTCAGATGTTTTTAAACCTTATTATTTTATTTTATAATGGTACACCTAGTGCTCACCTGTGTATCATAGGATAAGGAACACTGGGAATGCTATATAGATAGGCCTTAACCACTTGTCTACCAGGCACTTATACATCCCCTTACTACCCAGGCCAATTTTCAGCTTTCAGCACTGTCGCAATTTGAATGACAAATGCGCAGTCATGGAACACTGCACCCATATGAAATTGTTATAATTTTTTTCACACAAATAGAGCTTTCTTTTGGTGGTATGTACTCGCTGCTGGGTGTTTTATTTGTTGTGCAAACATTTGGAAAAAAAACAACTTTCTGTTTCTATTATAAAATTTTGCAAACAGGTAATTTTTCTCCTTCACTGATGTGCGTTGATGAGGCTGCACTGATAGGCAGCACTGATGGGCACGGATAGGCACTGATAGGTGGCACTGATGGGAACTGATAGGCGGCACTGATGAGGCGGCACTGATATGCAACAATGATGGGCACTGATAGGTGGCACTGATGGGCACTGATGGGTGGCACTGACTGGCGGCACTGATGGACACTGACTGGCGGCACTGCTGGGCACTGATGGGTGGCACTGCTGGGCACAGGTGGGTGGCACTACTAGGTACTGCTGGGCACAGGTGGGTGGCACTGCTGGGCACAGGTGGGCGGCACTGATGGGCACTTGTGGGCTGCACTGATGGGCACAGGTGGGCGACACTGCTGGGCACTGATTAAAAGTACCCTGGTGATCGGTGCCAATCAGTCCTCTGACAATTGCTGGTTATCGGCAGTACTTTTGTAAAGTGCAGCCGATAACCCGCAACTGCATTTACAGGTGATCTGCTGTGTCATTGGACATAGCTGATCACTTGGTAAAAGGTCGCTGTGACTGGCCTTTTACCACATCACGTGATCAGCTGTGTCTGTAGGACACAGTGATCACAGAGATCGCCGGTGTGTGTGCCCCCGGGGGGCATGTGGGAGGGCGCATTCTGGGAGGACGTCATATGACGCCCTTCCCAGAACTGGCTGGCTGCGGTGAAGCAGTCATTTGGCTATATGTGGTTGGCAAGTAGGTAAAGCTGTGTCTGAAAATAATGGTTTATTTAATCAAAATAAACAACTAAATCATTGTCTGACCATTGGGCAGTAAAAGATCCTTTTGTTATCCTGCTGAATTTGGAAATATCGGGGTGCCAGATTTATACTAGAAAAAAGGACCATTGGCCAGTTGGATTTTCCAAGCTGAAAGTTATTTTTCTTTGAAGGGAAGGGTGGTGCCGGGAAGGGGAGTATAGGACTATGTATGACTTGCAGGGTATAAAAAAACAAATCGCAATTCATTGAATGTCTAAATGCCATTCAATAAGTCCACCTTAAAAGATATCCAAAGATAAATGGAGTAAGATAAATAGAAGGGATGGAGATTGAACTTTAGTAGCAAACACTCCTAGGATATGCAGACATTTGCACAGTCTCTCTAATGTATTTGTGTCAGGAAGCTGGCTGAATATTCCTGACAATCTGGAATTATGATCTAGCCACACAACAATGAAGAGTTTTTCAAAGGAAAGGCTGTTTCCCAGAATGGGCCTATCCTCAGGAAATCACATACGTTTCTTGTGACAACAGATGTTATTGCAAGTTTCATTTCAGCTTTAAGCACTCAGTGAACATGTTGTCAAAATTCTTGGGATTATCCAAAACCTGGAACTAAGTATATCTACAGGAAAAAGTATTGTAAAGAGGTATGTGCAAGTTACCTTTATAACAAAATATTTTAATTTGGTAATTTCACTGTTTGTTATTGCATATTGCTATAGGGCAACCCATTTTTTTTAATCCAAGGCAACCCCTTATAGTTTTTTTAATGTTGTTTCTATTTGTTAAATTCAGCTCTGCATTACAATTGTTGTCAATAATCTGTTGGTCACCAAATGCATACGTATGAGTTACCTATTTTTTCTCCATTAAAAACAGACGAGAGGCAGTAAATGAGCCATGAAGGAAGGCAGTTTAGAACACAATTGAAAGGAAAAAAATCCACTAATTTGCATTCTACAGTTAAAATAAAATGTAAAACATAAATACATAATAATAATTTTAATAAAAATAAAATTAAGCAGTAATATATGAACACTACTGTTTCAGCTGCTACTTGCTTTTTTTCTTCTAATGTAAATTAATTTGCTTAGTTATAAATCAGTGAAAAGCAATGCGTAAAATACAGTAACCCACAGCAACCAGCGAGGTTTCACATTTTCTCTGTTTAGCCTAAGCAAAGCTAATTGATTGCCAGATGGTTGCTTGGAGCAACTATAATACAATGTGTGTATTTATAGGCTTATAAGTAATATTTCCACCCTCTATATGAAGCATAATCTTTTACTGAGTCAGTGTTTTATGACACCACAATCAAGATATTATTACAGATGATGTTGTCATATGCCAACACATGCATACATATGACCAGCATAACGCTTCAACAAAATTGTTATTTGGAATGCTGAAAATAAAGCACTGCTATATAAGTTAAGATATGTGTTTGACGTATTTAAAAACATTGTTTGCCTATATTAAAATTTGTTATGTAATACATTAAGAAGCTTACGTGAGAGTTTCATAAACCATACCATATATAAATACTTATTTAGCTATTAAAAATAAATTGAAATGTAAAAGTAATCTGGATGCAAATCACCAGATTTGGGCAAACTAACTTGCTATATAGTCTACACTATAAAGCTTCTAACCCTCCAAAACTTAAAAAGAAAATGGTAACACATAGAAACACATAGTTTCTTGCCCAAAAACAACACAGAAGTAGATGTTCTTTATTTCCTTAAAATCTTGGCTCACTTGGTAGTATATTAAGTGAGAAGTGTGGGATTGTAAAAAAATAAACAAATACTTATGCAGCATTGGTCCGATGCTACAGCTGTCCCTGTGCCTCTAAGCTTATAAACTGAGCATTCGCATGATTACTGATTGCTCAGTTCTTGGTCTGCTCTGAGCAGAGAGTGATGACTGTCAATTACTGCTTTCTGCTCTGCTCCTCCAGTGCTCACTGGAGCTCCAGGCTGTATACTGGTGGGATCAGCTGGTTCAGCTGTCAGTGGTGCACTGAGAGGCTGAGCTAGCTGCCGGTCAGGAATCTGGGTGGTTCCTGACATTATTGTCAGGATCCTCTCAGATATCAGAGTGGGTATGCAATGTGATGACTTTAGCTGATTCTGGGTCACAGAAGTGCAAAAATAAGTACATTCCTGTAACCCAGAGGAGATGTAGTGCCAAAACAGCTTTGGCCATATTTCTCTATTAAGTTGTAAATATGTATTTCAACATTTTGAAGGTATATGGCACATTGGAGGAATAACAGTTTTTCTAATTCCTCAATATGTAGAGTTGTATACATTTTAATAGAAAAAAAGCATTTGCAAGAAATTGTGATATTAAAAAATATATAATTTCTTATTGCACAAGTCAGTGTCCAAAGTGTACCTAAAGTCAACACTTTTAGCGTTAAAATGTTTGCTGAATTTTAAGATCGTTTTGCAGACAGGGTAGAGTAGGCGTTGCCTCTGGATCTTTAATATAGTGGTAAGGGGAAGGGAAGTAGCCAAAGATTGGTAGGAGTTCTGAAAACAAATCTGCAGTAAAGTACATTTACACATTAGTCTCACTGGGGGTTATTTACTAAAACTGGAAGGTGCAAAATCTAGTGCAATTCAGCAGTTGAAATCAATCAGCTTCCAGGTTTTTTGTCAAAGCTTAACTGAACAAGTTGAAGTTAGGTTGATTGGCTACCAAGCACAGCTGCACCAGATTCTGGCGTCAAACAAAGTTGCTGTCTTCCAAGCACAGCTGCACCAGATTCTGGCGTCAAACAAGTTGAAGTTGACTGGCTACCATGCACAGCTGCACCAGATTCTGGCGTCAAACAAGTTGAAGTTGACTGGCTACCAAGCATGGCTGCACCAGATTCTGGCGTCAAACAAGCTGAAGTTGACTGGCTACCAAGCACAGCTGCACCAGATTCTGGCGTCAAACAAGTTGAAGTTGACTGGCTACCATGCACAGCTGCACCAGATTCTGGCGTCAAACAAGTTGAAGTTGACTGGCTACCAAGCATGGCTGCACCAGATTCTGGCGTCAAACAAGCTGAAGTTGACTGGCTACCAAGCACAGCTACACCAGATTCTGGCGTCAAACAAGCTGAAGTTGACTGGCTACCAAAGCACCACAGCTGCACTGGCTACCAAGCACAGCCAGATTCTGGCGTCAAACAAGTTGAAGTTCACTGGCTACCAAGCACGGCTGCACCAGATTCTGGCATCAAACAAGTTGAAGTTGATTGGCTACCATGCACAGCTGCGCCAGATTCTGAGTGCACCAGTTTTTAGTAAATTCCCCCACTATCACAAGAAGAAATTAAGATTCCACTCCAGTTTTTCCTTTAAATACTGTAAAAAGGCAACAATATCTAGATTTAGAGCAATGGAATATCAAAAAATAGAATAAATGATGTAACAACTTGCACATGTAAAATAAAAAAAACCCACTGGTATTAACTGATCTGCCGCTTGTGTGAGTTGCTAGCAATGCTACACAATAATTAAATATTAATCACTTTGTTCTCAGGATATAATTTCTTATTTCTACCTTATTTTATTGTGTTTTCTCTTTTGCAGGATTTCCTACTGAGACTGGGTCTTTACATTTTCATACCAAGATGACACAATCCATCAACATAAGTAATAACCTTCCAGGTAAAGTACTTATATGTTGTCCAGCAATACTTAATATTTATTTCAGGTACTTATATAGCACTGTCAATTTATGCAGCGCATTACATATATATTGTACATTCACATCAGTCCCTAACCCTCAAGGGGCCTACAATATAAAGTCCTCAACTCACATTCATACATACACATACTAGGGCCAATTTAGAAAGGATCCAATTAGTCTACCAGCATGTCTTTGGAGTGTGGAAGGAAACTGGAGTGTCTGGAGGAAATCCACGCAGGCACAGGGAGAACATGCAAACTCCAGGCAGGTGGTGCCAGTGGTTGGGATTTGAACCAATGATCCTAGTACTGCCAAGCGGAAGTGCTAACCATTTAGCCACTGTGCTGCCCCAATACTTGAAGTTCTATGCAAAAAAAACAATTGTTTCATCATACAATGCATGCAGAAAAAACAGATAAATATACTGGTTGTTTATAGGGAAATATTTGACGGGTTGCTGGTTAATATTTAATTATTTGTACAAAACTACAGCATACTTTTTTCAATTTTGTGGGTGGGTTACTAATAAGCAAATTAGCTGAACTCCTTTAAGGAAACTTTCCTGCGCAAAACTTGAAGGCTGACATGGTTGACTGTCATGGAGACCCTTTTTCCTTTAAAGCTAAACTCCATATTAAAAAGGCACAGCTTGGAGTTCATTAATACATCAATTACATTTATTTTTTAAATGCAAGCATTGTAAGAGTCTGAATTAGAGTTGATATCAGTTTCTTGCAGTTTTATGTACAGCAGAGACCAGACTCTAGGCAGCACAATAGGTTGTACTGCAATACAAGGAGCATGCTGTTAGGAGGAAAGAGCAGAGTCAGCTTCTTCTCATTTCGCTGTCCGGTCAGAGGCCAGGAAAGTGTTACAACTTTGTCCTGCTCTGTTCAGGTGTTGCTCTTTTCCAGCCTTGTTCTAGCTCAAGCCTGCTACAGCTCAGGATTTCCTTGTGACTTTTCCTACAGTTTAGCCATAGTTTGCAAATGAGCACAGGCACATGTTAATTACCCTGGGAGTGGCATGGAGGGTATTTAAGCACCAACTTGTTCAAAAGAGGAGAGGGAAGCAAAAAAAGGAGGCCACTGGGTTTCCCAGTCATTATCTCTTGTGATGATAACTAGTATTTAGATTTTGCGCTCTGGTCAAACCCTTGTCATCTACACCATAACACAGAGAGACAAAACCCATACGGGTGGGTTACTGAACTGCAGCAAAGGAATAATCAGGTCTTCTGTCCTGCCAGACAGGCCTTTACTGTGTGGATTGCATGGCAGCAAGTATCCCGACAGGTAAAACAGCTTCTTCGCCTGGAGTTTAGCTTTGGTCTCTGACCTAAAACAAGTAGATAAGAACTTCTGACTTTATTCTGATTCTCCTGGATTGTATGATATATCCAGAAAGTATGGAAGCCAGTACATTAAAACCACTGCAAATATACCACACCTAAGCTCCTAACTTCCTGTGAGCTGACAAAATTGCCTCAGTCGCACTGAAATCCCAAGCACTGATATCAACCTTACCTGAGATCTCATCCTCAGGACTTTAGAACAGCTCCCCCATGGTATTGAAATGAGGAAGGGGGAGAGTTTCTATAGTGCAGCACAGAAGCCCTTGAGCAGGGCTAACAATAGTGCTTGAACTTTTAGAGCAGCAAAAACATTGTATTGTCAGCTTCAAAATGATGTTAGGAAACTCTTGGATTTCCAGCAGATCACTGGGTATTTTTCTATACTTGCAGTATTTTTAAAGGGACAGGACACAAAGAAATAGGCACATGTTTCAGATAGGACTGGGCTAAGCAAAGGTAGAAGAGTCACCACGGGGGGGGGGGGGGAAGAGGTTCATCTAAGGGGTGCTACTGAATTAAACATCTCCTGCACTGTGCAGGTCTGAGCTATAAATTGACTGCACAGGTCTCTCCATGTAATCAGTGGAGCTCTACTAGTTAAATTTTTTTAGTTAGAGAGGCTGAGTAGCAGCCTGGGCAAAACTCAGCAAAGTCAATATTGGGTAAGGGCCGAGAGACTCTGCAGGTCAGTTCCTTGATACCTCACCTGCTCTAGAATCTTGGAGAAGATTCTAGAAGCAGTGGGCAGTGGTAAGGAGGAGCTGGCCTGCACACTCAAAGGACTTTGGTAAATCTCCAAGCAGGAGGCTTAGCATGGGACCAGGGCAGCCTTTAAGTGTGCTTGAGCCTGTTCAGCAGCAGGAGAGGATGTGAGAAACCTGGGAGGGGGCTCAGTGGGAAAGTACCTACCTACAGGCTGGGACCTGAAGAGGTGGATCACTCAGCCCAACTGGTCCCCGGAGGGAGGTCCACCTGTGGAGCCAGGGAATGAACCAGCCCAGCAGTGGGCCTGAAGGCAGCCACCAACCCAATCAGCTCACAGGCAAAGAATGAGTGAGTAATCCTATACCACATGGGCCAGTTAAGGGAAAGTATCATTCTGGTAGGAAACCTGACTAGCTCTACACCTGGGACTGTTACATTTCAAGTAGCAGCTTTGGATCTCCTTCCCCAGGGATTCTTCCAAACTCCTGGGTAAAGAAGAGGGTTCATCTGGCGTCTGGGGTGGTACACTAGGAGAGGCTGTAGAGCTCTCCAAGAAGAGTTCTTATCTTTGGACTTGTATATAGTTGCCAGGAAATTGTCCTCAGTTTGCAGCTCCCTTGGGCATCCCATATACCCCTTACCCCATCCAAGTTCAATATCCTACTGCCTGGCTATGCAAAACTATAGGGGGACCCAAAACTTCAGCAACTCCTAAGTGGGTAGTGCTACATGTGGGGGCTCATCTGGGATGTCAATATAGCAACCTACATGGCTGTTGCCTCTAGCAACTGGCAACCAACGAGTCAGGAAAGTGTTATTTGCTGCTGAACGTGTCACGGAGCCTAGCAGGAAAGTAGAGTGGTGCTGTACTGCTAAAATTGTGACTGTTGCTGTGATTAAAGTATTGTTGCTGATGCTGTCACCCGTGGCAACCATACCCGGGCCTGTCCAAAAGTCTTCCTACTGATCTACAGGTGGATGATGTGAAAGATTTCCATTGTTCATCTGTTAATACCAGTGAAATGTCCGTTGTTGTCCTGCTTGCTGTTGCCCAGAACACAACTGGAGTTGCTCATCAGTGTGTAAAAGTCTTTTTGCTGCTGTACAGGTGGCTACTACAAAAGACTCATTATGTGCCTGCTTACTACAGTAAAGTCTATGCCGCTATTACTACTGTGCTCATTGTTACCTGTAGCAACCTCGGAGAGCTACAATACTCTTTTGGATTACAAATGCTCTGTAACCCACCAGCAGCTGAGGCCTGTGTTCTGCTACTACTAAAGCCTGCAAAAATCAGTGCTTGCCTTGTGCTCTAGCTTGTCTTTGTCCAAAGCAACTGGTGCGGCCTGCTACCCAGTGGATTACAAATGTCCAGTTGCCCAAAAGTGGCTGGAATTAATGACTCTATCTGCTGAACAGTTTCTAGCAGGGGGGGTCCCGTACCTCGCTGTTGCCCGTAGCAACTGCTGCAAGCCATTGCAGCTACTACTGCCATGACCACCCACTCACCGAACAATGGCTGGAGCCAAGTGTTTTGCACTTGTCAGTGAACTGCATCTGTGTCACTGCCCGGATTCAGTGCCTCAAAAGTCTGCAAACCAGTCAGCACCCTATCACTTGGGCTTGGAGAAACAGGGGTTAACATAAGTGTAGGAAGAATTCTGCACAGCAGTCTCCAGTCTCGCTGGTTCCAACATGTCTGAAGGAGGGGCATGCCCTTGAGTCCACCCAGTACACCCAGCATGCTGAGAGAGAGAGAGGAGAAAGATTCTGCACTGCAGGTGTTCCCTAAGGTTATCTGGCCAGAGATCACTTTGGTGGATACCGGAGTCCGCCAAGAGCGCAACGTGGGCTTTGTCCTGGGACTGATTGAAGGAGCGGAGAGGTTTTGGTTGATCTAACCTGAATGCAGGAGGCTGACTGCCTTGATCAGTGCCTTTATCAAGTGCAGGCATTGTGGAGAGCCGCTAACCAAGCTAATGCCCAGCAACTTGGCGCCTTGCACATACACCGTGGACCTTCACTCAGGACTATGCACGGAGACACAAAAACAGAGAGTCAGAAGGTGGTTAGAGATTGGAGGACAGAGAAGGGTTGAGCCTCGGGACTGTGACTCCCCTGTACTGACAGCAGACCCTTGCATTGCAGGACAGCTGCCTGCTGTCACTTATCGCCAACCCAGAGATGCTGATGATGGGCCTCACCCACCAGCCCTGACCATTCCGCCTGGAAGGAGGCAGTCTGCGAGGATGACCAGCCCTTAGGTGAGCCAGAGGAGAGTGGGGGGGGGGGGGGGGAGGTGGATTGGGAGTCACCCAGGCTACAGGCTAACTTTCGGCCCCTAGAGGTCAAGCAGGAAGAATGGTCCCCAGATGACACTGAGGAAGAACGGGACTGGGGGGACGTCACTAAGGACACTAAGGAGTCATTGATGGGACTGTCAGTTCCCACACACCAGACCCAGCTGGATTTTCTAGCAGGACAGAGCCTGTTCAAGTGCCGCCTCAGGCCCAACCTACATTTGCTGCACCTTGGCCTAGTACCAGGGCCAAGAACTCTGATTTGAAAAGGCTGATTCACCAGGCCCAAAACTCCTGTGTGTATCCAGGTCTGCGAGACAAGTGGGGATGGGACTACCCCTATGTCTCCTAGGATGTTATCAGCACTTTTGAAAATGGGAGAATGATCTCATCTGGGACTTCTCCATGTTCCCAAACCTTTGAGGGGGAAACTTATCTTACTAAAGTTTGGAACAGGTTTCAAGACATCAAGCAAGGGTTGTGCAATTTATAAGGACCAGGTGATAGTCATCAAAGCTGGCAAGCCAACATCCAGTTAGTCCATAACTACCCGGAGAACTGATTGTTACACTGTCAAACTGCCCAGCCCACACCAATACTGCTGAGTGATCACTTAGCCTCACCATTCCCCGGAGGGAGAACCATTTGTGGAGCCAGGGAACGAGCCAACCCAGCAGGAGGCCTGAAGGCAGCCACCAACCCAACCAGCTCACAGGGAAGGACTGAGTGAGTAATCCTACACCCTCTGGGCCAGTTAAAGGGTAGGAACATTCTGGAGGGAAACCTGACTAGCGCTACACACGGAACTGTTCCATTTCAAGTGGCAGCTTTGGATCCCCTTGCTCAGGGATTCCTCCAGACAGCTGGGTAAAATAGAGGATTTATCTGGGGTCTGGGGTGGGCTTATGTATAGTAGCTAGAATGTTGTCCTCAGTTTGCAGTTCCCGTGGGCATCCCATACACCCCTTACCCCATCCAAGTTTAATATCCCTAATAAAACTTAAAAAAAAACAAGCTCAAGGACTGTTTACTGTCTCTGGAATGCAAGTCTGTGAAAAATGCATGTTGCCTGGCTGTGCAGAACTATAGGGGGACCCAAAACTTCAGCGACTCCTAAGGGGGTAGTGCTACACCTATAATGTGAAGTCTGTGCTGTAAGTCCTCTTACCATCCCCATCTCTCTTACTTTCTTCCTTCCACTTTCTCATTTCTTATTAGAAAATTGTACAGGAATTGCACTCTACTTGCCACAACCCACATTTTAACCTCCAACCCTTGCAGAACAGAACACACAATGGGGTTGATTTACAAATGGCAAATAAATAGATTTTTCATTTTGCAAGTGCTGTTGCATTTGCCTCAGAGCTTAGTGAATGTGGTGAAGCTTCACTTTGTAAAGGAATACCCAATCAGGTGCAAGGAAAAGAAACAAAATTGCCTTTTTACTTGCGCACAATTGGATGATGGAAATAAACAGAGTTTAATCACATTAACCGCTTTCCGATTGCCCTATAGCAGACGTACAGCTGCAGGTCTGCAGTGCTGCGCAAAAAAATCACATATATACGTGAGTTTGCATTTCTGGGTAGGGGTCTATGCTTAGACCACAAGGTGAAAATCCTAGGAACAGTAGACTCTGGCTGTCATTTCTCCACCCTAAGCTGGTCCAACTACTGTACAAGTGGATAAGCAAGCTTTATCTGTCTAGGTACACTTTGACATTATTTCTTTGAAGAGCAACTTGTCTTGGCACTGATTGCAGAACTTTTCTGAATACTAATATAATATTATTTGTAAATTTGTTCTACCTTGATTGTGACCTTTTTCAAGTTTTGAGCCTTTTATATACTGTATTATCCTTTTTCAGATTTTCAAAATAGAAATTAATTATTTCAATGCATATTGGTAGTTTTTTTTGAGTAAAAAGGTAGTTTAGTATTTATAATTTAAAAGGGTAGTTTATTTTGTTCAATATGCATTTAAATAATTAATCTGTAGCATACAAATGAAATATGATTCCTTTAAACAATAAGAAAATACAGTATTTAAAATGGCTCAAAGTTGGAAAAAAAGTTTACTATCACGCCTGACAACACGTTTATAACACTTCAATAAATAGCATGATGTTAGATATTGAAACTTTTTTTTTTATGTGTTCTTATCAGTGAGCCAGTGTACTCAAATATTTGTACTTTTTCAAAATAGATCTAGGAGCTCCTTTCTTATACTGGGATCGTAATGAAAATGACAAGACATCCTACTGTGTGGAAACGCCATATGGATTTCAATTGGATTTGGACTTTCTAAAATATGTTGATGATATCCAGAATGGTCAGACTTTGAAGAAAATGTCTCTTAGCCGAAAACTAAGGTCAACACGGCGCTCTACATCATCTTTAAGAAGCTTATCCAGCCAAACTGGAATTTCAGTTTCAACAGAGTCTTTGGATTATAGTGAGGATGGCACCTCATCAGACTCAGTTTTTTTCACAAGAGATGTTGTAGATAATAGCTACTCCGGTGCGTCCAAACAGGCTTTGGGTTTAAGAAAGTCAAATCCAATATCGCCAACACCCTTGTTTAAACTTCTTCCGCCTCCATCAGCAAAGTCACTTCTAAATGCTCGTCTTGAGAAAACACTTGAGGGTAGAAAAAAACAAGAGCAAATAATTGTAGACTATGAAAAAATGCAGTCTTCAAATCTTTCTAAGCTTAGTACAGCTAGTAGAAGTTCACCCAATCTCACCCAAGGGACTTTATCAACTTTGCAGTATAATAAAAGTGGGGACAGACGTCCAATCCTAAGTCCTACCTCCATAGGATCTATGAAATTCAGTCCTGTGAGTTCTGGAAGAAATACTCCAGTTGATACTTCTTCATCAACTCATCTTCAGTACATTCGGGAGCAGATGGCTGCTTCGTTGAAGCAGCTGAAAGACCTTGAAGAACAGGTAAAAGTCATTCCTCTCTTACAGAAGCAAATGTATACACTTGAAAGAGAGAAAAAGCATCTTACAGATGAGCTGGAGAAGCACAAGGCATATACCATTGGGATGTCATCAACTGCTAATTCTAGCCTCCATGATATTGATGTAAGGAAAAGGCTTGATGCTATATCTGAAAATGACATTACATTGGAAACTAAAACAACCAAATCTGAAATTAGATTAGAGTCTGGATTATCTAAACCAAGTAAAATTACAGAGCTGAAAAGACTCACAGAGAAATTAAGTGATACAGAAAGGAAAACAAGTAATGGAAAAGCAGCAACTGACAAAACACTTGTTCGGTATCCGGCAGTGAAGGAAAAGTCCAGAAAGTCTGTAGCAGTCGGTGAGAATATTCCTATGGCAGAGTCTGTGTTTTACTATAGATCTCATCATGAAAATAAAGATGTTGCAGTACAATATTCACCTGAAACAACAGATGTTGGTGTTTGGGTAATGGAACCATTATTAGGACTAACCTGTGAAGCTGAGAAGGAAATACAGATATTGGAACATACAATAGAACATCAAAGAGCAGTTATCAAAATTCTTGAAAATAATCTTCAGGCTGCCTGTGATGAAATGGATGAGCTAAGGGTAGCTGTTGCCACCAGAACAGTTATAGCCATGCAACCAAACCCAGTGGAAGCATTAGCAGATGTTACTGGTCCAAAGCCATCAGAAGAATACTTACAAATGGTGGACACAAGAGTGCTTTTTGATCCAGAAATGTCTGCAAGTGGCATTGGCAGTGACATTGAATTAAATAGAATAGATCACTTGGAAGATGAAACTGTTGTAGATATGATGACTGAAGGTAGAGAAATAAGCGTAAGTGCACATTCTAAAGGACATTTAATACTCAGTAGCAATGGATTTGATACTGTAAGTGTACCAACTTCTGAGCATGAACTGATAAACGTAGGTAGGGATGAGGTGGATAGTGCTGACAATAAGGATGTCAAGTGTAATATATCTGAAAAAGATATCAAGGATGGTGAAACAAATGCCACTGGGGCTTCTGCAGGAGAAAAGAACAAAGCATTAATGCATTTTCAGAGTTCAGAAGAAATACTGGAGGATAATGCAGATGAAGATACAGCTGGAAGCAGGACATTAAAATCTTTAGATGAAGTCAGTAAGTAATTATGTTATTAAACTGAAGTTTAATTCCTCATGCACACTGGACATTTTAATAACGCTGGTAACATTAGCTGTGTAAAGTCACGTTAAAACTGCAAGTTTTTCAGCTTTTTTTTAGCATTTTGGCATTGGCACTTTGCGGCGTGTTCCCACGTTTTTCCGTGTTTGTGGTTTTTAGCATTTTTTAGCGTTTTTTTACCAAAAAAAGCCCATTTTCTTTGGTCAAAAAAAATCCAAAAACGCCGGTTTGCTACGTTTTACCGCGTTTTTACAGCTAAAAAAACTCTTCTAGAAACCCACTAGTCCTGCGTTTTTTTCCACCCAAAAAACATCCCAGCCAAAAAATGTTGATGGACACATAGGATAACATGCTGGGTGGTTTACTAGCTGTAGAAAAAAAACGTCAAAAGCCAAAAACAGCAGCTGTAAAAACATCCAGTGTGCATGAGGACATTATATTTTGCTTTCCCTGGCTTACTCATTTTCCCCATCACCAACACACCAACATGCTAATGAGACTATTACATAAACCTGTTTTCAGTACATACCTCATTTTAGACCCTGTGATGTTATCTCTAGTACTCTTTGCTCATGTATGCAATCGAGGCAGATCATGGCTGGTTGGAGGGGTTGACTGTGTGCTGTACTTGAAAACAGGAAGCTGTGGCCACATGCCCACATGTGATGCTGATCCTCCATGATTGAAAAATAAAACCAGAAATCCAACGTAGGAAAGAATGGGACAGGAACAGTAAGGCAGGAAGAAAAGGGCTAGATGATTTTCATATCTTCCAACCAAGAAATGAGGCAGGCCCTGTCTGAATTGTTTCAGCTTTTAATGTCCAGTGTGAAAAGCTCACAGTGTGCAGTTAAATCAGTGTAAGCAATTTCAGTACAAGAGAGTAGCCTGTTCAAATGTGCAGAGAAGGTAAGGCTAAAGTTTAGCTTTAAAGTGGTTGTAAACCTCTGAAATGGAAAATGAACACAGCATATCCACCATAGTGGGTACTAGCCTCAATACAAAAGCACCAAGTATGATTTCTGTCTCTTTCTCTTCCTCTGCTATCTGCACTACTCACTTCTGACAGATTAACCTGACACCACAGAATCTTGGGAGATGGCCTGCCCCTCTCTCCAATACACAGAAGTTGATCAACAGCTTCAGCTGTGCATGTTTCCCTATGAGACCATGTAGAGGGGCTTTATCCTTACCCTCCACTCAAATACCAGATTACTCTCAGCTCCCCGCTGTATGCTGGACTGTGACATCAGATCCTTACCCCCTGCCTGCTGGAGCAGAGAATTAGCCTTTAATATGTGTGTTTAGAAGCCTGTAGAGAAGAGAGGATTGCAGGTAAATGGGTATAACTTATGTAGGAGGATTTGTTTCATCTCTATGTATCACCTGAGGATAGCCATTTCACTGGGTATATATAAGGGTTTACAATCACTTTAAATACATCAATATTACTAAAATAATTTTTACTGGGCAGGTGTAACATTAAAGCGGGGTTCCAGCCATTTTTGTGTTTATTAAAAGTCAGCAGCTACAGTTTTTGTAGCTGCTGGCTTTTAATAAACACACACTTCCATATCCAGAGATATCTGACCCACTGCGTCCCTTCTCCCCTTCCTTCCTCCACCGCGGTGCCATCTCTACTGTGGGCACCAGGCTGTGACAGCTTGCGGCTTCACAGCCTGGTACCCACTGGGCATGTGCGAGTCACGCTGCGCTTCCTAATTGGTCTGACAGTCTCCTGGGACCTGTGAAAGTTCCCAGGAGACTGCAGGAGGGAGGAGGGGGCCGAACTTCCAGCTCAGTTCGCTGCGGCAATTGAAATCGATCCATACTACCGCCATTATTCTAAAATCTTCGTTTTAGTAAATTTATCACAGTAAAAACATCACGGGTACAAAATATGGGTTATGCCTAAGGTTTGTTAATCCGCAACACGTCAACCTTTGTACCTGTGATGTTTTTACTGTGGTTAATTTAATAAAACAAAGATTTTAGAGCAATGGCGGTAGTGCGGAATGATTTGTGTTAATTCTGGAATGGATAAGAAACTGTGGAGTACACACCTGTCTCGTTTCTAGGATTAGCATTGGATGGGTAGTAGCACCTTCTTTTCTTTTTTCAATTGAAGCATTTGCTCATTGACAGGACATTTATATATAAAAGTTTAAAACTAAGTAAAAAAGAGGATTCTTACCATAACGGCCCGTCATCACAGCAGGCGCTCCCAGTTGCCTGTACATCAAGTCTTTTTTCAGTGAGAGAGCCAGATACCAGGAATTCCCAGGTACTCCGATAAACAGATGCTTCCTGGGTCAATGGGTCCAGAGTCTGGCCTCACCAATTCCTGCATCTTAAGCTTAACCTTAATACGGAACTAAACCCTCCTATTCTTTTTAGCCAAGGAAGCTGCCATCTTAGCCTCTGTTTGATCTGCAACTGCCATAGTACTGCACATGTGATCAGTTATGACAACATCCATTTGATGGTTTGACAGTTTGGTTGAGAGCACAAGCAAATGTGGCAGTTACATTCCCGGCATACCTGGAACATGGTCTAGCCTGCAGATTTCTGTTTGGGCTTTTATTACCTCCTTGCTGCAGTGGTCTTGCTAGATCTGTGTTCTCATTCACATGTGTGATGGCTTCTTTGTTCACTTATGGGCATTGCCTGCCTCTATTGTGGAGCTTTGCCTCAGCAACTTCACAGTTCTCTGAGCTCCCAGCTGCTTGTTACTTGTGTACCCTGTGCCTGACTACCCATGTAATGACTCTGGCTCTGTTTGCCGTCTGTGCTTGTTTGCTGCCTGCCCTGACCTTGGCATGTCTCCTGGATTTCCTTCATCTCCTGCTGTTTGTACTCTGCGCACGTGAGTGATCTCCACATCCTCAGCTGAGCGTACCTTTGGGTTCCAGTTTTCTGCAAGTCCATCTCCACCATCAGGGGCTCTGGTGAAGAAGAAGCAGGCTGGGGCTTAGACTCTGTGCCCTGGGGAACCTCAAGTTGGCAGTCTACAAGGGCTGACTACCACAGATGCCTGACAATAACTGTTTTTTGAAACTGTTATAATGATGGGTTTAGTTCCATGTTAAGGCCCCGTACACAAAACGCATCAGCTAACCTAAACACCTTTCCTCTTGTCAGCCTTATTTTTGCAAAAAAAAAAAAATCACTTGACGCATGTAAATGCGGTTAGATGCATTTAGGTATGTTTAGGTGTTTATGCTTGGGTGGTAATTAATTTCATTGGCCAGAATTTTGGCCACTGAAATGAACTAGCATTCAAGCGCTTGACATGCCTAGTGTTAATGTATGTTTAGATGCATTTATACACTTCAATCATTTTTTTCTTCCAACATGCAGCTGCTCCTGGACACGCTGGCAGTAAGTTTTTATTTTTTCCTCTAAATGCCCCGGCCTCTAAACTGCTCTAAACACCTATGTGTGCATGGACACCTAGGCTAACACAGAGGGGCATTGAGAGACAGAGAAAAAAAAATCAGATGTCCCAAAAGCAGTGTTAAAAAACATTGTGCGTGCATGAGCCCTTAGCCACATGAATGGACCAAAAGTAAGACTTTAAATGGGAGAGGTGAGTCCATTCACTCAGGAATCTGCATAGTAAAGGAAGTTGGGCATTGTGGGCATGTGGAAAGCTTAAACTGAAAACAGGCATAATTTACATCTTCTTAGTGATCTGTGCTGACAGCTATAGATGAGTAAATACTTTTTACTGCATTCTTTCTACATCCGGATTGACTATAGAAAAGGCAGTACAAAAAATGGCCACTGCCCCAGTCTCTAACTGGCCTTCACAGCAAGGAGCACATGAAAGAGCAATGCATGTCAAACAACAAAAAAGAAAAATTTCCAGCTCTAACTTGCCAGCCAGTCTGCAAACAAACCAAATTAACCTGTCTAACAGTATGAGTTAAAAACAGGGGTTTAGTTAGCACATATTTGCAAATACATACGTAAGCTACAGAGCCTTGTAATGGCACCCCAGTATACTGTAGTTCCTAACTCTCCAATTTTAAGAGCCCCATACTAGAGGCACATGTATTTAATGGATAGACCAATAGAAACCTATAGAAAAGGCAGCATATGTTGTTATATTGTAATATGTTTAAGCTGCTATGTTATGGTCTTTCTCTCTTTTTATTCTAGTTATGAGTTGCGCTCAGGTTCTTGCCAGCTAAGTATTAAACGCACCGAAGAAGCCAAGTGGATAGTAGTAGCCATCATTTTTGACCTCGGCAGTCATTACAATGGACACATTACTGATTCTCATATGTTTACTGTGGTGGTGAAGACCATATTTTCCAATTATTGTTGTGTTTCTAATATCTTCCTTTTGGAATATACTCATGCACTTCATTGTAATCTTTTTGGAATGCTTATAAAATTTCTCACATGTCAAACCAATTCACCTCTCGTTGTGCATATTGCGAAACATTTTCCCAACTAGCAGAGATGAGATGTACTAGCAGATTTAGATGGACTTGACTAACGCAATAAAGCTGAACTCTGGCTAACACTCTTTAACCACTTCAACACTTTCACTTTCTCTCCCTTCCTGCCCAGGCCAATTTTCAGTTTTCAGTGCTGTCACACTTTCAATAACAATTACCCAATTGACATTTTTATCATTTTGTTAACACAAATAGATATTCCTTTTGGTCGTATTTGATCACCACTGGATTTTTAATTCCTTGTTAAATTAATGAAAAAAAGACTGAAAATTGTAAAAAATGCATTTTCTTTTCATTTGTTATAAAACCGTGCAAATAAATAATCTTTCTTCATAAATCTAAGCCAAAATGTATCCTGGTATATTTCTTTGGCAAAAACAACCCAAATCAGTGTTTATTATTTAGTCTGTAGGAAAGTAATAGAGTACACAAACTATGGGATATGCAGTATATTTAAAAATCGATCAATCCTGATGTACTGACAGCCTTATTTCTCATCTCATTTCTTGAGGCCCGAAAATGCCAGGACAGTACAAATACCCCCAAATGACCTTCTTTTGGAAAGTAGACAGTCCAAGATATTTGGAAATTTAGAAATAAAATCTTTTTTTCTTTACAATTTTTTTACTGTCACCAGTGCAGTACAGAGTCATCATATAACTGGTGTGGCGGTGATAAGGGACACTGACTTGTGCCGTATGTAAAAAAATAAAATAATACTTTAAAAAAATGTTTATTTCTTTTTTTAATTCATTTTTAATTTTTTTTTTTACAATTTTTTTTTTAACATACTGTGACTGGAGCAGTACAGATTTATCTTAGTAATGCTGTTCTACTCTGGGGAGGTGATCAGGATTTTATTTTACACACTATTATTGCTTAAAAAAATAAGCACGTGTTCTTTAAAGAATAAGTTCAACTTAAAAAAAAAAAGCACATTGTGGTGGAAAGCCTGTCACCCCAATTGGGTTATTTCATCAGAGAACTGCTTCCTCACCACTAGGACAGTCCCCACATGAACAATAAAACAAATATTACACATTAATACAAAACTAAACACATAAACATCTCACAATTGTTTGGTAACAAGATAAAGTGGACATAATACTAATCATATCTCCAGGAGGACCAGCAGACAGCCAGAAACCATAGGTGACTAAATTAACAATGGGAATACACACCTAGGAGACACACAATGGTAGAAAGACAGTAGACACATAACACCTTAATAAACAGATTAGAGCAAGAGCCCTCAGCATCAGGTTTGTTTTGCGCTGATTACACTGTTCAACAGGTAAAAAGTTTTGGGCATAAAATTAGCTAATCTTACATAATTTTGGGGTGCTGGAAACGAAAATGACCCTAAAAAAATGTTGATTGGCTCTAGTTTCCATGATATATTCACCCATCTAATGACATAAGCCATTCAAAATTATGATGCAACTTGAGCTGGATATTGCGCAATTGATACTGGTGACCAATAGAAAATTGCATGTATACTGAGATGATGCAATATTAGCCTTTAATTGCATCACTTCACTGCATAAAAGCTGCAGTATCTGTAGCTGATTGTAGTTCGACAGCGTCTTTACATTTCGTTTTATGCTTATATAGGCTACTCAGTAATGCCTCGAACTTGTGTGAATAAAGCAGATAATTTCTGCTATATCTGCGGTGAAACAACTTTTATCTCACAAAAAAGGAGGATAACAGGAATGATTAAAAAAGCCTACAACTTGTATTTTGGCTGCAAGATAGGAGACCAGGACAAGAGCTGGGCACCACATATATGCTGCAATTCTTGTGGGACGGCACTGGAGCAATGGTTGAATGGAAAAAAGGCATCTATGCCTTTCGCTGTGCCAATGATTTGGAGAGAGCCAACAGATCATGTTAGTAATTGTTACTTTTGTATGATGCCTCCAATTGTAAAAGGGCTAAATAAGAAGAAAAAGTTATCTGTGCACTATCCAAATATTCCATCGGCAATACGTCCAGTTCCTCATGGAGAGGGGCTTCCAATTCCTAAAGCACCAGAATCCTTCGTGGTTGAGTCAAGTGAGGAAGAACCTGAAGCGTGTAGTCACGTGCAGTTGTAAGAGATAGCCCTTTCCTCGAATACAAGAGAAAAGCCAAGAGAAGCAAAACCGACACAAACTGAAGACAAAACTAGTGAGAATCCTAAGTATTAAAATGATTCAACTTAGCTTATGGCTATAATTTTTCTTGGTAATCCTATGCAATATATTATGCCATTTAGGCTTTGTTATGTAGTCAATATCACTTGCTTTATATTTGTGGAAAGACATCTATCTATATAATTATTGTGCATTATGTAGTCATTACGCCTATAGTAGAAAACTTTCCGTTTACAGAAAAACTAGAGCCAATTGACAAATTTCATTGTTATATTTGAACTCAGAATGTGAAATTCATTAAGAAATGGATCCTTTTGTTTCCAAAACTGGCAAAAAAATAAAAATTTGTTGAACAGTGTTATATCCCAATCTGTATCCTTGTCCTCCAGTTCTCAGAGTCTGTGTGTTCGGGGTTACAGAGACTTGAATCCGAGTAAAACTACTCCAAAGGTCTGCCCAGGCTCACATCAAAGAATAGAGCCCCCTCAGATGACAGGGCCATGGTCAGTAGGCAAGAGGCTAGCCTGTAGTTCCCTCCAAAAGCCCATCACACACAATTTTTTGCAGGAGTCTGAAAAGCATTGCACCATCAATTAGCTGGTGCCATGCAGGACTCCTGAAGACTGTTAGTATAGAATGTCTGCCTGTACATCATACAGGCAGGCAGTTTGACACTGACAGGAAGAATCAATGAACTACCACAGCGCTCAATAGCACTGTGGTAGTTCATTAAGAACTACCAGTCAACAGCTGCAAAGGATGTTTGTAGTTTTCACATTCACAGACCTCTGAGAATGAATGACTCTTTTAAAAAAGTGACAGCTGATACGGGGAACTTCTCCCCGTACTGCTGTCACAGGGAGAGAGGGGAGTGGTGAGCAGCTGCAGGAGTAGGAACATGTTATATGGTACACCCTAAAAGCGGGAAGAACACGCAACAAGTTCCTGAAGGTGAACGTATCCTTTAATGTAAGGTATTCTGCAGTTGTGGGCTGTGGATAAGGGGTGTGGCAGTGCGGTATCCTGCCAAGGTGGAAAGCACGATGGAGACCTAGGATTCTCAACCATACAGGTTGAGGGGCTCCAGGCAGTTCTCATAATGCAGAGGAAACTGGTTTATAAGTTTCCTCTTTGGTTTGTAAAGCCTGTTTTGGGACCTGTTGCCTGGAGATTTCTAAGAGATTTGGGAGGGATGAAATCTCCAATCCTGGGCCCATATTTTGGGAGCAGCCAGCGTGCTGATTGCACAGGTGTGTGCAGGCCTTTTAGGGGAAGCCAGGCCATGATTCTGGGCTCCACCCCAGCAGTTAGGAGTCAGGAGGTCTCCACCCAGGCAGACGGGAGGTCTCTGCCGTGGAGTCAGGTGGGCTACACCTAGGAGAGGTGGAAGCCAGACTAGCTGTGTGCTAGTGCCATACTTTGGGAAGAGTCTGCAGGAGGCAGACTTAAAACCGTGTACAAGCCAGGAGGCTGAATATGATTTGCTTGATGTTGGATACCCCTGCGTGGGAAGCATTTGTGTTTCTTGAACTTTCTTGTAAATAAAAGTGGGCAAAAAAGCCCTTAAAAGAAGCGAGTTGCTGTGTGCTTTGAAGAAGCTCTACCACGTTGAAGCGAGTTCCCACAGGGGCTACCACCAGTCCTCCTGTACAGGGCCCAGTCCAGCAGGGGGGGCCGGGCAGTTGGGTGAATCTGATGTAGGCAGGGAGGGTTTTTGGCATGGTGGGGGGGGGGGGGCAATTACTGGAACCAATCCCCTGTATAGCTCTCTGCAGCAGCTAAAAGCTGGCTTCTTCTCCCCTCCCTCCCGCTGGCTTTCAGCTGCTGCAGAAAGAGACCTACAGAGGATCAGTTCAAGTAATCGCCCCTGCCACACCCATCACCCTCCCTGTGCACCATAGGTTTCCCCCTGCTGTCCAGGCCCTCCACCCCTGCAGTGCTGCTGGCTTCCCTCCTCTCCTTCCCACCTGAAGCTGCAAACACACAATAGGATCCTTTAGGATGGAGAATGCCATATGTGGCAGTGTCACATTTACCAGCCCCCTTCCTTTCCTGAATGAACACAATGAGTGATCAGTACCAATCTGTAAGGGACCACCAGGCGGTACCACTAGCACTCCACTGGCCAGGCGTCCCCAGCGCACGGTATCTAAGCCCCAGGGTACGTGTTCACCAGAGCCCCTGATGGTGGGGATGGACTTGAAGTACCCCGAGACCAGGTCGTGGCTACTGAGCACGCCTGTCAGTGGTAGCGGTATTCGCCAGGGGCTCCCGCAGGGAAGAGCCTGATGTGAGGAGGTCGGGTGATCCCGTCGGGATGGATGGATGGATGGCTGAGCAAGTGCGGGGTCAAACGGGCCGGGTCGGTAACAGTGGGGACGGAGCAGTACAAGGCAGCGGGCAGAGAGTAGTCGGGTCACACGCCAGGTCAGCAACGGAAGGTCAGATCCAAACGGGGGCATTCAGGAGAGAGGTCAGGCAAAGCAAGGGTCTGGGCAGGAGAAGGCAACAAGGTCAGGTATAATCCGGGTCAATAACTTACTTAGAACAGGTTCGCAGATACAGGATACAAGGAAAGACCAGAAGGCA